CCTTCTTCCCTTTTTTAAAGATTGGCACTACATTAGCCTTTTTCCAGTCATCCGGGACTTCCCCCGTTCGCCACGAGTTTTCAAAGATAATGGCCAATGGCTCTGCAATCACAGCCGCCATTCCTTCAGCACTCTCGGATGCAACTCGTCCGGCCCCATGGACTTGTGCACGTCCAGCTTTTCTAAATAGTCCCTAACCACCTCTATCTCCACAGAGGGCTGGCCATCTCTTCCCCATTTTGCGATGCCCAGCGCAGCAGTCTGGGAGCTGACCTTGTTAGTGAAAACAGAGGCAAAAAAAGCATCGAGTACATTAGCTTTTTCCACATCCTCTGTCACTAGGTTGCCTCCCTCATTCAGTAAGGGGCCCACACTTTCCTTGGCTTTCTTCTTGTTGCCAACATACCTGAAGAAACCCTTCTTGTTACTCTTGACATCTCTGGCTAGCTGCAGCTCTAGGTGCGATTTGGCCCTCCTGATATCATTCCTACATGCCCGAGCAATATTTTTATACTCTTCCCTGGTCATATGTCCAACCTTCCACTTCTTGTAAGCCTCTTTTTTATGTTTAAGATCCGCTAGGATTTCACCATTAAGCCAAGCTGGTCCCCTGCCATATTTACTATTCTTTCGACTCATCGGGATGGTTTGTCCCTGTAACCTTTCTTTAGATATTGCCTTCTCTGAGGTTGTAAGTGGCCCTCGTGTACATTTTAAGGTTTCCATTGAAGGGACGTCCCTTCTAAAGTGTTAGAATTGAGAGGACTTGGCATCTTTCAGGATTGGTGCCAATATTTTCAGCTAACAGTTCCTCCAATTGACAACTAATTTTCATACTTTAAAAACCCACTAGTTCAGGGTCTGTTTGTCTTATAATGATACTTTTGAAGACATAAAGTGCTACTTAAATTTTAAGCAATGTACAAACATGATCTAATCCTCAGAATATCCATTTATGACTGGTAAACAAATAGTCTTACCCCCATTTTACACTATCCTCTTCATCTACCAGTAATTCACACTCAACATCTGGTTTCATCTGGAAAGAGCAGACTTACGGTAACCTCTAGAGTCACCTGACTTTGATACAAACAATAATTCATAACAGAACATCTGCCTGAAAGACTCCCCACACTTGATGATGGATGTTTAATGGGCCTTAATATACCTTTTATTTATATATTTCTTACTGGGTGGTGTTTAATCTCTCTAAGTATGTCACAGACATAATTCCCCCAAAATATTAGGCTTTCTGGTTTTTTCGTTGTTCTACCCCTCCCCCCACAAGTACATCCTAGCTTTTTATTACATATCAAAGAAACCGTGACCGAGGTCCCCTGTATCAGAGGCATCTTGGATCTATATTTTGCAATAAAAACATAAGAATGGCCATACTGGGTCAGACCAATGATCCTGTCTTCCGATAGGTTTTAGAGTGGTAGCTGTGTTAGTCTGTATCAGCAAAAGTAACGAGTCCTTGTGGCACCTTAGAGACTAAGAAATTTATCTGGGCATAAGCTTTTGTGGGTTAGAACCTACTTCATCAGATGCATGGAGTGAAAATACAGGAGCAGGTATAAATACATGAAAGGATGGGGGTTGCTTTACCAAGTGTGAGGTCAGTCTAATGAGATAAATCAATTAACAGCAGGATACCAAGGGAGGAGAAATAACTTTTTTGAAGTGCTAAGAGAGTGGCCCATTACAGACAGTTGACAAGAAGGTGTGAGTAACAGTAGGGAGAAATTAGTATTGGGGAAATTAAGTTTAGGTTTTGTAATGACCCGACCACTCCCAGTCTCTATTCAGGCCTAATCTGATGGTATCCAGTTTGCAAATTAATTCCAGTTCTGCAGCTTCACGTTGAAGTCTCTTTTTGAAGATTTTTTGTTGAAGAATTGCCACTTTTAGGTCTGTTGTTGAGTGACCAGAGAGATTGAAGTGTTCTCCTACTGGTTTTTGAATGTTATGATTCCTGATGTCAGATTTGTGTCCATTTATTCTTCAATGCCAGGTGCTTCAGAGTGTGTAATATTCTATACCTTGGGGGAGCATCCTGTAACCCGCATATTCCTCATTTATATACAATTGTGATATTGCATATATAGCAGGCAGTGTGAGGTATCAGGGGAAAGGTTATGATCTGCTGAAAGTCATTTTTCTATCTAAATATTTATATCATTAATGCATATGAAGTTATGAGAATGTGTTGTATGGTTGTCACTAAAATATGCTGTGGGTTTGGGAGGCACCCAGATACTAGCTCTCCAGAGACAATATCAAGGGAGGTAACCAACACCCAGGTGGGTGCTGAACAGACATCTCCAGCAATTGTCCAGCAGAGGAGTTACAATTCAGTGACTCTCACTCACAGGAGAGTCACCAGGATATTGCTTCACCTTGTGACTCCGCAATACCCACCAGACATGTCTGGACTTGTGTTCTCCAAGCACATGGATTAAGGCAGGGGTGGGCAAACTATGGCCTGGGGGCTGCATTCGGCCCTTCAGACATTTTAATCTGGCCCTCAAGCTCCTGCCAGGGAGTAGGGTCTGGGGCTTGCCCCACTCTGGCACTCCAGTCAGGGAGCAGAGTTGGGGGTTTCTCCCGCTCTGCGTGGCTCCTGGAAGCAGCAGCATGTCCCCCTCTAGCTCCTACATGTAGGGGCAGGGGGCTCCGCATGCTGCCCCTACCCCAAGTGCCACTCCTGCTGCTCCCATTGGCCAGGAACCACAGCCAATGGGACTTGCAGGGGCGGTGCCTGTGGATGGGGCAGTGTGCAGAGCTGCCTGGCTGTGCCTCCACATAGGAGCCAGAGGGGGGACATGCCGCTGCTTCTGGGAGCTGCTTGAGGTAAGCGCCGCCTGGAGTCTGCACCCCTGGCCCCCTCCCATGCCCTGAACCCCTTGGTCCCAGCTTGGAGCATCCTCCTGCACCCCAAACCCTCATTCCCAGCCCCACTGCAGAGCCTGTACCCCCAGCCGGAGCCCTCACCCCCACACACACACATCCCAACCCCCTGCCCCAGCCCAGAGCCCCTTCCTGCACACTGGACCCACCACAGAGCCCTCACCCCCTCCCGCACCCAACCCCCCAATTTCATGAGCATTCATGGCCTGCCATACAATTTCTATACCCGGATGTGGCCCTCGGGCCAAAAAGTTTGCCCACCCCTGGACTAAGGGTATAAAACAGAACACAGTGGGCACATGCTTGGCCTTTCTCCTTCCCCCCACCTATGCTGCAAACAACAAGGACACTCAAAGACTGAAGACTCCAACAGAGGGAACCGGCCCAGGTTTCAGGAGTGAAACCTGGATACTATGAACTGCAATATCCCGTGGGGTGAGAAAAAAAAAACTGCTTAATCTAGATGTTGCCCAGTCTAATAGGGTTGAGAGTTTAGACTGTACTTATGTTTTATTTTCTTTTGGTAACTAACTCTAACTTTTTGCCTACCACATATAATCACTTAAAATCTATCTTTTTGTAGTCAATAAATCTGTTTAACTGTTTATCTTTACCAGTGAGTTTGCATGAAGTGTTTGCTAAGGGTGTTTGCTCAGGTTGACAAAGGCTGGTGTACCAATTAATAAATTTGCACTGCTCATCTTGAGGCTACAAGATGACATTTAATATTATCATCTTTCATTTTCAGAGTCAGACTTTATGGGACAAGTCATTTTTCTTCAGAGCCTTAAGGACTAGAAATTTGTTTTGTTAAATAAGTGATTCTGCAGTAATGAATAGATGCTGTTGCAAATTCTCCAGCCACAAAATTGTGGCATAGAGTATAATATTATAAATGAGCAGGGGTGGAAGTAAGGGGGTACAGGCCGGTACGGCGTACAGGTAAAAGGTAGCTGCCAGTACCAGCCCATACCACTGACTTTAAAGCGCTGCCGCAGCAACGCTTTAACATTGCTGCCCCTTTTGCACCCCCGAGCGGCTGTGCTGCCAGGTCCCTACCAGCAGGGCTGCCGATGGGGGGGCGCAAAAGGGGCAGCGATGACCCGGTAAGGCAGCCAATGAGAGTAGGGTGACCAGATGTCCCGATTTTATAGGGAGAGTCCTGATTTTGGGGTCTTTTTTCTTATATAGGCTCATATTACCCCCCAACCCCTATCCTGATTTTTCACATTTGCTGTCTGGTCACCCTAGATGGGAGGTGCAAAAGGGGCAGCGATGTTAAAGCGCCGCCCCTTTTGCCGCGCCTCACCCTCCCCTCAGCTGCCGAAGTAGCTGCCCCGGGGCTGCGATTTACAAGGGCCCGGGGCTCCGGCCACCGCTGCCGCGGTAGCCCTGGGCCCTTTAAATTGCTGCTGGAGCCCCTGGCAGCGCAGGCCAGGGAGCGCAGATGACTGGCTGGGGGACGCTGCCCCCCCCCAGCCCCACCCCTTCTAGGGGGGCCAGAGCAGCCCCATACCAGTAAGAGCTGCTGTCAAGGTTCCTTCCCCACTCTGAACTCTAAGGTACAGATGTGGGGACCTGCAGGAAAGACCCCCCTAAGCTTATTCTTACCAGCTTAGGTTTAAAAATTTCCCCAAGGTACAAACTTTGCCTTGTCCTCAAACCGTATGCTGCCACCACCAAGTGTGTTAAACAAAGAACAGGGAAAGAGCCCACTTGGAGACATCTTCCCCCAAAATATCCCCCCAAGCCCTACACCCCCTTTCCTGGGGAAGGCTTGATAAAAATCCTCACCAATTTGTACAGGTGAACACAGACCCAAACCCTTGGATCTTAAGAACAATGAAAAATCAATCAGGTTCTTAAAAGAAGAATTTTAATTAAAGAAAAGGTAAAAGAATCACCTCTGTAAAATCAGGATGGTAAATAACTTACAGGGTAATCAGATTCAAAACATACAGAATCCCTCTAGGCAAAACCTTAAGTTACAAAAAGACACAAAAACAGGAATATACATTTCACCCAGCACAGCTTATTTTACCAGCCATTAAACAAAAGAAATCTAACGCATTTCTAGCTAAATTACTTACTAACTAACAGAAGTTCTGAGACTCCATTCCTGATCTGTTCCCGGCAAAAGCATCACACAGATAGACGAAACCTTTGTTTCCTCCCCTCCCCCGATTTGAAAGTATCATATCTCCTCATTGGTCATTTTGGTCAGGTGCCATCAAGGTTATCTTAGCTTCTTAACCCTTTACAGGTGAAAGGGTTTTACCTCTGGCCAGGAGGGATTTTATAGCACTGTATACAGAAAGGTGGTTACCCTTCTCTTTTATTTTTATGACCACTGCATTTTACTTTCACCCCTGTAAATGAGTAAGAAAAAGTTACACTTTTAGTTAGGCCATATAACTGATGGTCATTTATTAACTTAACTGTCTGTGCTTTGCACTGTATAATGCAGATCAAAACAGTCTGATAGTTTAGAAGACCTGAAGAAAAGCCAAATGAACAGAGATTCCTATGGAGAAGTTTAACTTCGATAATATTTCTCTTCTTAATTTCCTTCATTTATTCTACTTGCAAAATACTCTGTGTTCTTTGCACAATAAGGGCCTGATTCCACATTCCATGCACAGCTGAAACTCTCCTTTAGTGTTCAACAGGAGATTTGGGTGCAACAAGAAATGTGGGATCAGGCCCAATATTTGTGGATTTTTTTTTTTTACACTTTTTTTGTGTAAAGTAATTTTAGTTGAGCTGCTTATCAGCTTTCTCAGTACTTCTGCTGTCCCACTGATTTCTCATTGCTCTATTACCCAGTTTTATTACCTGTTTAACTTGTAGCTCTTTCTTGGAAACTACTTCAAATTCTAAAAGGGCATGGGATAGGTTTGCATTTGTTGCTCATGAAAGTGAGGAACTGCTAGCATAAAACGGGGAACTTCATCCCGTAAGAGGGTCAGCTCTCCGCTCCAGTTTAGCAAATTACTTTAAGCATATGAGTAGCCCCATTGGCTTCTTTGCAACTAATCACACACTTAAAGTTAAGCACGTACTTAAAAGGTTTGCAGAGTCAAATCAGATGGCTCAGTGCCTTATTGCACTACGGTGACTTTTTTATTCAGAGACTGAAGAAGAGCTTTCACTGGCATTGGCCTGCTAAATCCAGGGTTGTGAGTTCAGTCCTTGAGGGGGCCATTTAGGGATCTGGGGCAAAAATTGGGGGATTGGTCCTGCTTTGAGCAGGGGTTTGGACTAGATGACCTCCTGAGGTCCCTTCCAACCCTGATATTCTATGATTCTACTATTAAAACAATGCACAAGTTGGCAGGACAGAATCCGTCGTCTCACACTGCAGCCCAGAGGTAAGGTGCCAATCTACTACTGAAAGCTCCAAAACACAAAGCTGAACTGCCACATCTCGCCTTGTCCTTTTACACAGTTTCCACGCACAAAAAAATCAACCCAAGTGTACTCAATTTGCAGACTGTTTGCAAACTTACATGAGTTTTGTGTTTGCAGGAAAACTCCAAACCTTGGTGATTTTGCCTGGTTTCACATTTCTCTATCAGTATTTCACAGGGCTATGCTTAACACTATTCTCCAACCACAGCCTGATTTAGTTCTGAAGTGTATTTGGTAAAATGGCCTTATGGGGAGTTGATAACGAAGCTCGTGTGCTGTGACCGCTGCTTACTACACCAGTCATAATTGTCTCACTGTTTCCTTGTATTCCTCCACATCTGTTTGTTATATCTACCAGTTGTTTCTCATCATATACTTTGGGGCAGGGACCAGCTTCTCTTTGTGTCTACAAAACGCCTAGAACAACAAGTCCTTGATCCACACCTGGGGCATCTAGGCCCTACCACAATACAAAGAGTAGTATTTCATTATTATTTAGACAATTGACCAGGACTGATTTACAAAACAAAGCACTCTTCTCATATCTCTGATAATCATGTGCAACGTTTTATTTTAAATTATAATTAAAATGCTTGTTCTCAACAAATGTTTCTTGCTCTAATGTCTGTGGATCACCAGCTTTTATGTTGCTGAGAGAACAGTCTTTTGAGGCCCCAGCACTTAAATTTATGCATTACATTAGCCTGGACTTCCCCAAGTTTTATCTGTTGCCCTCTTTGGAGATGATTGCATTTAATTTAATTCTTTCAAGTTGTTTTTGCGTTTTGCATGGCTGACCAGCCCCTTCTGATATGTCCACCTTCAATTCATGCAGCCCCCATGCCTAGAACCACCTTCCTGGCTTGACCTTCCTCCTCCTCCTCAAATTCCTTCTTGAAACACACTTTAATAAAGTTTTGTATAAACCATAGCCATAACCACACAACAACCCCTTCCCCGTCTTTCCTGGTGTAATGGTCAAGATGTGTGCACTAACCTAGCCAAGCCGCAGCATAAATCTATTTTCTTCATGCTCCTTCTCTCCCCACGTGCTACTCTGTTTTGTCTTCTCATAGTGTACCTATCTTATTAGTAGTACTGTAATGTATTTATTGTGGGAATGCACCAATGCCTGGATCAGGATCCCATTATGCTAGGAACCCCACTTCCTGCCCTGCCCTTCCCCCACCCCCTGTGCCCAAAGATGGTTCCTGCTAGCAAAAGCTTATCTAGAAGAAAGTTTGAGCGCTGCCCCATGTATGAGACTGTCTGTTGAAATGTTGGCCTTCTGGGGGGAGGAAAAATAGTTGTGTTCTACTGCAACACAGTGGCTGCTGTGAAGAACAGCAAGGAAACTTAAGTCTTGTCTAAACTACTGACTATTGGAATTATGATAGAGACTGCCAGAGCTGAAATCCAAGACCTCTCGTGGTAGGAGGTGTTAGACTAAATAAAACAGTCCCAGCAGTGCAAGACAGAGCCTTATAACCTCTTGTAATGGAGATTAGACTACACAAAAATTGGCCGCCTAGCTCTGGCTGTGGAATTCCAGTACAAGTGCGTGTCTTCAAGATTTGCTCAGGTTGAGGAAGCTGGTTTCTGCACTATGAATAGGTGAAATAGGCTAGCAAAAATCAGTCTCTCTTGATCCTTAATATCTACAACTGGATTTATGTCTGAGAAGACCAGTCCCCAAAGAAATCTTTGTTTAATGATCATTCTGGAGGGAAAAGAGGTGTTTGATGTGTATTAGTCTTGGAGTGTCTGACACACAAAGTTCAGGTAATGCCAAAGTTGGGAGATGTTTGGAGACGGTGTTCCAGTTTTGGCTCATAGAAGAGAACGCAGGGGAAATTTAAATTTGGACCTGGATCAGGATCAGAGTTTTTGGACCCATTGTTCCATTTCAGGCCCATTTCTGATTTTGTTTTGAAGAATTCCTGAGCTTCCCTGAAAATGAGCACTCAAATTTAAGGGCATCCACTCTGCATTCAGAATTTTTCGTTTAATTAACATGGCATTATTATTTGTATTGCCCAAGGAATTTACAATCTAAAAACATAACTGTTATAGAATTGGTTGGGAAGTTTTCAGCGAATCATTTTATTCAAAAAATGCAAATCTGTCTGTTTTTGAAACAGGGTTGGTTTCAGTGAATCTCCCAACTTGAAGAAAAAGTATCAAAATTGTTTACACCTTCTGCCTTTGATGCTTCCTAAATGAAAAATTCCAGTTTTCCAATTCAAACTGATTTTGTTTTCAAATTAAATTAGGTAGACTGAAAAAATGTTTTGGAAAAATTAAAGGGGAAAAAAATCTTCAAATTAGAAGCAAAATGTTTTGTAATTCTCAAAACAAAACATTGACGCACACTGAACTCTTTTTTCAGTTTTCGATCATGAACATTTTCAAGATTTTGACTTTCCAGATTTGGGATGGGAAAATTCTTTTAATTGAAAATATAAGATAGGATAACCAGAACAAAAAGTTCCTGTCCAAAAGAGTTTACAACCTAAGCATGAGACAAGCGTCATCTGCTATTGTTCTCTATTCCAAGACGACAATTTGAGTGCCTACAAACTCAAAACTTAAAGGAAATCCCATTGTATACAGTAGTTTTAATATGATGGGGTCAGTACACTTATTCTGGGTTAGCACAAAAGAAGTCAATAGTTGATGTACCAGAATTAGTTGTAGAGTAAATTTTGGGGGGAAAAATCTTACATAAATCAATTTACCTGGCTGTGTTGAGGTATACAAACCCCACACTGGGATGGAAGGGGTTAAAGGGAACTACTGGGCCTGACTAGCCCCACCCCTCCCACTCTGCAGGGCATGCCCCAACTGGAGACAGGGTTGAAAACGCCGCAACCCAGCTCAGAAGGCTGGAGATGACTACAGACCTACCCTGCTGGCTCCAGCCAAAAGAGGATAGAGACACTTCCCTAAAGTATCGGGACTATATGCTGAGTGCAGGTGGGGCTGACCGTTTGGTTTCCTTTTTATTTTTCCTTATCTGGGACCTGAAGTGTAGGGAGCAGTGCTTGAATTAGAAAAGAGGATTTAAATACTAATCAGAGAAGGCAGGGACACAAATACTCTGAAGGGTACAGTGCTACCTGAAAAGTAAGGCATGAAAAATAAGAGCAATAAAAATGTCAAAGGTAACTAGATAGTCAAACCAATTAATGTTAACAACAAGGGGGAATGAACCGCAACCCAAAATAAGGGAAGAACGCATTAGCAACTTATTTGGATAAGTTAGCTGTATTCTAGTCCGCAGGGCCTGATGCCATTCCCTTTACTAGGTTACCCTTCCTTGTCAAGGGACTCATCATGCTTTGAAGTAGCTGCTGCAGCATGTGCAATTGCTTATAAAGTTCTAGAGGATTTTTTGTTGCTCAGCCTGCTAACTAAGCAAAGCCTGTCTTTCCAGAAGGTGGGCCTGCTGAAAGGCTTGTAGGGCCTTTTGCATTTCTTTCTGCTGTTCAACCACCATTGCAGAGTCTCCACCATGGTCCAGGCTAACTATCTTCACCAGCGACTTTGTCAGGCCCTCCATTTGTACGGATAAAGGCAGAGACCGGACAAGCTCCCATGTGACTGGGTAAGGTCCCGCCCACTCTTCTTTCTGTCTGCACAGACTATTTGGAGACCTTCAATTCTTTAACACCACCATGTAGTTTATATACATTGCTCCTCTCACCACCTTAGTGAGCCACACCACAGCTTTTCCCTGCTGAGGAGAGGGAAGAGATCTCTCCACCCAGAGATCCTTCTTGGTTCGGGCACGACTAGCCTCTCTCTCCCCAGTGCTTCCTGCCTGTGCCTTCTCCTCTCCTCTGTTTTAATAGGCTAATTAGCTTA